GCTTCTTATTTCAGATGTAGCAGTTTGGTTTGTTGAGATTATTGATTTGCCCAGTATTTTCACCAATTACATTTCGATTTGGTTAAGGCTTAGGTGCAGAAGAAACTCTCCTGTTTCGAGGCTTGAAAAAAGAACTTCGACCTTTCCAAAGAGTTTTCTCTTTGCGCGATTGCCTATCTTGCAGTATGGTTGCCAGTTCAAATTCTCCAAGGAATTTCCCATTTTACTTGGACTTTCCTATGCAACGCAGTATATTTTATGACATTTCTCAAAATGTTTTGTGCTTTCATCTGTCCTGTGATATATTACATGAAACTTTCGTCATTACATAGGTCCTGTACATGTAGGTGCACTTTGATACGCCGTAAGCACACATCTATGATTCCACCAGATAGCTTGCCGGTCATAACGCTCAAATCAGCTTCTTATTTAATGACGGCACTTCGACTCAATTGCAAAAGCAATCGATTTACCTCATTCCTCCAACAAAATTTCGAACACCATGACCAGAACAAGAATAACTGAATAAGAATCGACGAGCGTTGTCTTCCTAATGTAAAACCAAATTCTCCCGAGAAACATGAAAAAGGATATGTTCACTGCAGTTAATCAGTAATTTGATTCGACTCAGGAGGACGAACTTCTTAGTTTGAGACCCTGACGTGATCTTGGTCCAGACGATCTTTTTCCTCAAGATATAACTAGGCGTGCGTTCCTTTGGGGTGATCTGGATCTGATCAGTAATTCCAGATCACTCGGATCATAGTGCGCTAGTGCATCAAAGAAGCCGTGACCAGAGTGGATTCACCGGTTCCTTTGATGTACCATGATCATCCATATCACCCCAAAGGAACGCACCCCAAGACAATTTACCTCTGTGAAAGTAAGAATTCCTTTGATGTGTGTTGCCATGCTGTTACGACCACTGTAGAACGGCAATGTATAACTTACTAGTAAGCATGACAATAATGATAAAGGTAGTTCTTGATTCAACTTTTCCACTGCTGCTGGGAGTGGCCTCGGTTGAAGTCGATACACTGGAAAAATAAGTCGAAGGTTTCTGAGGGGATATGTTTGTACCCATTATACACAAGGCTCTTGATCACATGTAAAGATATTCGCTGTTTTCGCCCCATGCCACACCCGTTAGACATTTTCAGAGTACATCAGTTGACATTCCAATATTTAAGCAGGTGAAACTTTTTGATCGAAGAACAGTTTCATATGTAGTTGGAAGTAGAACTTGATTCCCATTGACTTACAGAATGGGTATAGTCATACTGGTGTTGCAGCAAGTTGGCCCAGAGGCCACGTATGATAGGCGTAAGTTGCGGTTATCTTGATTTTTAGCTTGTAACCTTAAATAAATTTTATTTATGTGTTTATTTATTCACTTGTCTATCTGAGATTTTAAATTCGTTATCATTAAGAAATGGTAAGCGTGCAGCGTGCAGCGTGCAGCTATCAAGTTATGGATGCACACGGGAGGTTGCTAAGTACGAAATGGAAGCGTAAGAGTCGCAAGAGGCGATAGCCTTTTGAGATGTATATATTGAATCTCGTCCGGCTTACATGAAGTCAAAAGCGCGATAGACCGCGCAAAAATGTTCATTAAAAAATCTGGCAAAGCGACACATCAAAATTTTTCTTGGATCGCGGCGAGTTAAAAGTTTCTCGGGCAAACAATCAATTTCAAACCGCGCAGTGACCTCAGTTAACCCAAATATTAAGCTGACAACAAACGAAATTGTACCAGGTAAAAGCCTTTCTCAAAAATTGGTTAAGCTTAAATTTGGATTGGTTTTCCGACGAAATGAAAAAAAAAAATGCACATGGTTGAAACTTTTGGCGGCTGAGCTCTCTGTCCTTCACGGCCTATTCGGCAAAAGAAAAGAACAATATGGAACCAGAAATTTCTTAAAAGCGAGAGTAGAGAAGAAAGCGAACGAACATCCCTGGCTTTGAGCTGTTTCAGGGTCGAGATGCTCTTATTCAGTAGCAGGTTTGTGGTTTACATTTTTCTTTCCGCTTCCTTTTAAATTTGTTGAGTCGTGCGTCTAAAACTGAACTTGAACACATGAATGGCTTTTTTAAATGATGTCTGTCACTTTCGTTATTTGGTAAAATAAGCGAAGGCCTAAAGGAAAATGTCAGAAATGTAAGCTTATATTTGTGCACGATGCAGTCTTTCCTTCGTGCGGCTGTTTCGTCAAGAGTTCATATCCACGATCGAGCGACGAGCGTTTCAGCAAAACTAAAAAGTGGGAACTGAAATAATTCATCAGAGGCTACTAATATTTGATAAAACTTCCTTTATTGAGGTTCAGAAAAACTATTACCTTTAACGTTTTTGGAACAGAAGGATTTCGTATGTAAGACTTCACAAACAGAGATTTGTTTAAGCTTTCATGTTCAAGTTTTCTTCGCCGAAAGCATTTAAATGGCTTTCGATGCCAGAAAAGTTTTACAACGAAAGCTAGTGCCGAATTTTATTGTCATCAAATGGCTAGAAAATTCTCTGTGAAATTCCGCAATGCATCAGACTAACCTCGGAAGGTTGCTACAGAACAGTTTGTTGTTTTTTGGTCCGTCTCCGAGTGCTGATTGCCTTTGTTCAACCAGCTGATTCATCTCCTGCTCGCTTTAATTCGCAAATCTCTAAGGTGGAGGTCCGGCAGAAAACTTTAGCTCCAAATTTGGTAGCTCACAGGAATAATAGTCCTCATCTCCGGAAGAATTATTACATTTTTCCATATTTTAGGAGAAGAAAAATTGGAATTATGTTTTACAAAGCGCCAACATCGATGAAAAAAATTACCGAGAAAAAATACAAATAAACACACTAACGTGAGCGCTTCGCTAAGGCTATGTTGTAATGCTTTTTGTTGTGTGATTACACTCCTCTAGGTCTACTAACATTACGTCGTTAATTGGTTAGATGTTTCATCACTTTTATATTAACACTTTCACTGCGGTAACTTCTTTTCTTATGTAAATACTTTCTTTTTGTTTTAGCAAATTTCCATGGCTGCTGGCCACGTGAATGAAAACGCTCGAAAAAAGCCTGAAACAGTACACACTTAGCTGCAATGGCAGGTTTACAGCAGCTTTATTCTAATTTGGTACACGCCTCTTGGTTTGGGCCAACACTCAGTGAACAGCTGTAAATATGGGACTAATGGCTCCAAAGAAAGCAGTAATTTTCAAGGGCAAATGACTCACGAACCCCTTAAATTGATGACGCACTAATATTGTCGCGTTACACTATGAGAATTAGAGGAAATCGCTGGCTAAACTTGTATCAGATGAACGAAGTTTTGTTGTTTTGTTCAAGAGTACCTACATCACTCAAAGCAAATTTAATTTTCGTTTTAAATGGATGAATAATTATTCATAAGTATTTGGGTCGTACAATTTAGTGTCTTGGTCTGACTGTGTTTATTCGATTCAGTAATGAAGCCACGCATATTTACCTAATCTTACAATAGCTAACCTTCGGTTATTTACGAAATGGTAATATTTTCAAGCACGTCACTGCGGCTTTCTTTGATTTAAGTTGCTTTCACCTCGCAATCAAGCATAAATATCACTAGTGATAAAATAATAAGAACAAGGAGTTTGTCAAGGCACCACATGTAGTCTACAATTTTCAAGTTCTAAAATCTTTAATTAATAAAATAGCAAAAGCTTTCACCGCCCGACATGTATTTGTCCAACGTTTCAAAAAGATGAAATATGCAAGTATATGACAATTTCTAAAGACGTTTGCCAACGCAAAAATGCTAAACACGACTATAATCATGAGCGAAGGTAAGGACCCACCCAAAAGTCAAGTATTCTACATACGACACACAAGGAAAAAAAAACGCGTGAGAAGTTGAGGTAAATATACACTGTAGATTGATTATTAATAGCAATAAATATCCAAATAAAAATGCCTGTTCTTTGATCGAGCCGACGGACTGATGAGTATTTACTCTTGTTTGAAGGTCGCTTCCGTGCTTTTATCTTCTTTCCAAGTGATAACAGTTACCTATATACCAATTCAACTTCATGACAATTCTTTGCTTTTTGTGACAATATATAAGGGTTGTCCTCCGAACGTATTGCTGTCATCCCAGTTATTAAAACTAGTAATCCTAGTAATTACTGGTTTTGGAAGTTTTCAAACCTTGCAAACAAACAATTCGACGAAATCTCCAGTAAAATAGAATAAAATAGATTATTATCATTTCTAAAGACCTAACGGGAGAACAGGACAAAGCAGCCGACAAACTGCAAAACAGCTGCAATACCGGTATATATTAGGTTTCATTATCATGTGCAGAGAAATGAACCACTTCTAACTACATTATGTTACGTACAGCGCCTTGTATTGGAACATTTAACAACATGAGAAAATAAAGAGTGAAGGTAAAAGAGGTCTAGCATTACCTCGAATAAATAAACTAAAATAACAAACTGAAAATAGGTCCAAAACAAGGAAGAGCAGAATGGTCATCAAAACCGATTAGGTATGTGAATTTCAATTACATCTTGCTAAAGAAGCACATGACTTTGTTTTGGCAGATGGCTACGGACAAGCCAAGGTTAGCATGGACTGTGGTATTACCTATGGAAATGTTAGCAGCTTTTGCTGGAAATGCAATTGCTATTGCTGTGTTTTGGAAACAAAGATCAACTCTCAAACGAACTTAATACCTCTTGATCAACTTGTCCATTGCTGACGTCTTGGTCGGAGTTGGGGAAATCGAAAACCTTGTATATAACGTGTGATATTTTATACATGGTACACCGGCAAACTGAGGCAACTTCGCAGTTTTGCATGTCTTTTCGGGTTTGGCCTCGTTATCGTTCTTAACTCTTATCTCAGTGGAAAGGTTATACGCTATTGCTTGGCCTTTCCTGCAGAGAACTACAACAACGCCAGCTTACATCTACTCTATTGTAATTACATGGAGCTTGGCAGCAGTGATAACTATCGTTTACTTATGCGGTTTTGCTTTCGAAATCATCAGCATCAAAATCGCCACCATAATCGGAGCATCTTTCTTGATGCTCTGCTTGGTGCTTATTCCATCTTCGTACTTGGCAATAGGATTGCCAAAAGAAACGAGGATCCGAGGATACCAGTAGACAGACGCGAACAAAACAAGAAGCTTGCCATGACTTTATTCATTGTAACTTCGTTATCAGTGCTAGCATGGCAGCCTTTAACAGTGAGCTACATAATATCCTACTTGGTGCGCATTGACCAACTACGCAAGTTACTTCATTACACTGGAAGATGTCTACAGCTAGCCAATTCATTTGTCAATCCCATCGTATATTATGCGCGAATGCCCGAGTTCAGAAGGACCTTTAAGAATCTATTCCGATCCGTACAGATATCTTCAGAAGAGCTGCAGGCTCACCAACACCGAGTAATGCAACCAGAAGCGGACATAAAGTTTATTACAAGCGAAGTACCAAGAGACTCGCAGAATTGATTCTTATAACGGGGATATGTCATACACGGAACCGGGCTTTATTGAATTTCTGGGAAAACGATCAAAATCTTCGTTTATAATTATTAAGCAATCATTGAAATTAAGACAGCGTTACATGTAGGTTGTAAAATAGAGCTCTCTACCATCTGTAAAAAAGTCGAAAGAAGAAAACACATCAGAAACAAAGGATACTTTGCCGTTATATTTTTTATTAGCTTTTTTTCCTCAGAAATAACATGACCGCCTATAACGGTAGAGCCTCCACTGAATTGCCCACGATAAATACATCAGTCCCATCTATCGACTTTATCTCTAAAATACCGCGCCCCATTACGCCTGAGGAACACAGATGCATTTCATGACAGAAACACAAAACTACTTATACTATAGCTACGGGCTCGTCAACTTAACAGCATGCTAGCAGCGAGCCGCCATAATTGTGGTCTCAATTTCAACATAAATACAAATGCAGTTGGTCGCTTGAAAAGGCTCACACACGCAGGAGCTTTCTTGCACAAATGTCACTAGAAATTAAATGTGATTCAAAAGTACAAAATTCTCGTGACAGCTCTTCAGGACGACTGGCTATATACAGCAGCTTCTTGTGACATTTACACCGCAAAGAACAGGTCATCTTCCAAAGCAATAGCATTAGAGACTTATTTTACGCTGAGGAGACGAAACCAAAGGGAAAAAAAAGTGACCTGCTTAAAATTGTTTCCATACCTAAGTATAATAATTTTTTCTATCTCTCTTTCTCTTCCTCTCGGAAACTGTTTTCGATGAAGTGATATTTCTGTTACAAAATTGAGTGTTAAAGGAAACAGGTCTTACGACGCCTTTGAGTGAACACAAAATGCTAAGCATATGTTAGGTTGAAGCATATATAAATTCCTTGCTGCCACACTTTCACTGACATGAAGGTTCCTGTCAGGAAATATATTTTCATCTGCTTCGTCGGCCTCCGGTATCGCCTGGGAAATAAGACAGAAATTTAGCTTAGAGTTGAAAAGACTCACAAAAACCAACAGATATGAAATTTAAAAAGCGCCAAATTTACACAAGTAGTCCCCGAGGAGAGTTACCTGTCCCCTTGAAGACTGAGATCTCGGCCACAGATCTCTGTATGGATGAATTTGGTAATGTACCCCTGACAATCTTATTGTTCATCTTTAACCTAAAGTCTTACCTAGGCTGATATCTTCATGATAAAGTTGTTACTAATCTATATTATTGCTGCTAGAGATAAATACAGCAAAATAAATACTTATAAACGATGCATCGTCGGAGCAAGCTTACCGTTTGTTCCGTTACATTTAGGCAAGCCTCTTGGTGTTCGTGAACCAGGAATTTCCATGCCGATTTCATCTACACACCAGCACACGCCTGACAGACGGTGACATTGCACTGGTTCAAATTCGCCGTCCCCTTTGCAGCGAGGAATAAAATCATCAGAGCGTCCGGTACTTATCTCACGTTGCAACTCGCAGAAAGTTAAATTTCGACCTGAAGCAGCAGAGGTACCTTTCATTAATAACTGCTACGTAATTAAAAAAGAAAACGAAATAAACCACCAGAGCAAACTGAGAGAAGTCAAACAAAACCTGTACAAGAAAGCAAAATTCCGAGAATGTTAACTGATTGACAAGGTCCTAACTGCTTGCAAACACTCGCGTGCCTTGAAAGGACTTACATGTAAAGGGGTTCAGTCGAGGTATTTTGAGTTATTATGGCCACGTACGAAGTTACCTTTAAATTGAAGGAAACCTTAAAATAGTAGTTTACTAAGACGGAAAAACACAACAGAGATAATGATAAATCACAAAGGAACAAGGATGGTCAAGGATGGAGAAGATTGACACGGATTGCAGACTGGTAACTGTAAGGCTAAACTTTTCAAGATACGCAAACCGTGACGTAGCTCCTTTAAAAGACACTGGCGTATTTTAATAGCGCAAACTGTGGTACTCTTCGCTCTATTCTGTGGTAACTTCCAGCTTACCATTGCAGCCGGCTTGACAGTCATCATAACTGTTAAATCTGTTGTTGTTACCATCGCACCCTCCATAAATAAACGCAGAGCACACCCCTGCAGTGCTGTTGAAGAACCATGAAGGCATTGAAGATTTACACGGTCCAGGATCTGGAGGTAACGAACAGTTCTTTACAGCCTCTGCAAGTAAAACACAAGCGAGTAGTAACACATGGATCATCAGATTTCGGCCTATTATTTGGAGTTCGCTTGTATTTCTGGTATTCGAACAAGGTCAAATGAACAATTGTATATTTTAAAACGAATGCAATTTAAACGAAGGAAAACTGTTCAAGACTATCAAGTTCAAGCTCAAGATAACTATGACATACCCTGGGAATCACAAATTGGCTTTCCAATTTGTCGGGTTTCTTGTTTTTCTCTTCCATCGCCATCGACGCACCAGCATTCTCCTGTTGCTGAGTTGCACTGAATTTGTTTATATGATCCATCACTCTCGCATAGAGGAACATATTGATCGCGTTCGTTTACTTTAGAAGCCTCATTGTAGCGACTGTGACATAACGACAGCTTGGGCTCTGATAAAGCTAGAGAACGTAAAGACGTTATTTTAAGATCGGTCCTTTTGTAGCCACGTCAATCAAAGGCATAAATTATGATTATGCTTGAATCCAAAGGCATGAAAACAAAACAAGAAAGGTAAATCGCCATTAGTTCAGATGGATTCACAGCTACTTTGACAATGGTATGACGAAATTCATGATCAATAACAAAACAGACGCATGATAAACTGACGTTAATTTGTTACATAGACACGAGTAAGTAACTCGAACGAAAATACGCTACTCGTAAAATTAACTAAAAACTCCATCTGGGACCCGACTGGCCCATTTTCAATAGCCCCACCAGTGAAGATATCGACGACTCATTTCTCGCTTTCAGTGAAAATGGTAAGAGATTAGTCTATATATATATATATATATATATATATATATATATATATATATATATATATATATATATATAAAGTTAA